AGCTTCTCGTATATTTCTTAGTACTGTAAATCAAATCAAATCAAATGTGGTACTGACGGTACTTTTTTATTTTTATTTTAAATGCCGAACTATCATAAGGAATGTACAATATCGCCATTTTGTCATGATGATAGATATATTTATCATCAACTGCAAGAAACAAAAACAAAAATCCTAACAAATAATCACGCAAAGCAGACATGGTCACATTTAGCATGAGTTTGACTTATGCTTATCATAGTAAGACATTGATAATCGAATTCTTTACACATAATATGTCGGTAATAGACGGGCCAATTTTAAGCGGTTTTCAACTCTTTTGATTTTCGGTCAAAGAATAGCAAATATCATTAGTTTCTTTTTTCTGCGTTACCTGTCTGGAAATAGTTTGGTGTTGCAATATGAATATTTGCTTTGTATGTAGGTTTTTTTTAATTTAACCATACTTAAAAACTAACGTATCATTTTATCATAGAAAGAAGAACAGAACAAAGCGTTTCTCACGGTGATAAACAAATTGAGAGGGAAGCCCGAAATCCGTCATATTATGGAAAAACATGTACAGGAAATGTTTCATATTGCAAACCTGAACGACGATTCTCAGAATAAAGAGATCTACGATCTGATTTGGAAAACGCTGATGAAAGTGGCACCACTGCAATCTCGTTGGGAATTACCGGTGCCGGCAAGATGGCTGGCACTCGAACATGCTTTGGTAAGGTGTAAGAAGGCAGGAAGTATAGTCCTGACATATGAGGAGTTGATGGATGTAAACAAGAACCTTGCAGTGCCAATACCAACACACGCTATCATGGACTTTTTGAAGTAGGTAGTCCATTTCAAAACTGTACAGGTTATTAATCGAAGGCGGCATTCATGGATTTCTATTAATTTCGGGAAAACCAGACGTTCTTCAATGTGATAATCCGACAGAGATCACATTATTTTCGTAGAGAACTGATTCGTTCACACGTTTTATAACGCGATTTGATTTTTCCCTGTCTTACTTTACATCCTTCTTTAATACGTGCAAGTATTTTTTTCTGGAAAAGCGACCCAATGGGAAAAGCAAATATCATTATGATAGCTCACGTTTAATCAGAGGCTGGTCAAAATTATGACCACTTCTCATTCTTCAGCAATTATCATACAGTTTAATTTGACTGCATAGTTTAGATAATAGTTAAACCAAATAATGCACGGATACCAATGAGTATTTATATATATTTTTTTTTTTTTTTAGGGGGGGGGGGGGGGTAGATAGTGTTCCCTTGCGTGCAATTCTGTTACACACATTGCATTCGTTATAATATATTTATGCAAAATAAATGGCTAGTTGCTTCAGTTATAATTAGTAAGGATAATCAGAATGCGGCAAGTCATTTCTACAAATCATTGGGTATATATCTGTAGACAATGTTGTTACTGCGAAGTAATCCTGTCATATTTATAGGCGATTCGAGTAAGCCGTGCTGTCTGTGCAATTTGACATTATTCTTGATTAGGTCCGATAAGGTTCGCATTAAATGTTCCTTCGCATGGGAATACAGTTCAAAAGCTGAACAAATACAAGAGCAGATTTACAATTAACCCTCGATGAACTTTTTCAATACAGTTTGCATTTTTTACGTATAACTTAAAAGTAAGGATGTATCTTTAAGTAATTCAGAGATAAAATCGAACAAATCAGTGCACGTTCTAAAATGCAAGTGCTTCCGTGACTTCTGGATATAGCAAATACATTATGGGTATATTCCTTAATTCTTCAATTTCAGTTAACGGAAACTTAAATTGCTTTAAAGGAACAGTAAATAAAAACGATATAAACTTTTATTGAGTAATACCAAAAGAATTTAGTTAATTTTAGACTGTTTTTTTATATACATCTAGCAAGTGGTCCTGTGTGACTTCAGGTTCCGTAAAACCGTATGGATTTTAGAACGCAATCTGATTTAACTTGACACCAGATCCTAATTCTGAATAGTCAATCTAGAATACTATATATGCTTATTTATTACCATCTTTGATATATCTGTAATTAATATATACATTTATAAATTCAGCTTTCAAAGATAAACGTTTTTCCAGATATCTGAAACTTGACGGATGTTTCCTCTGCTTTGATCTCCATACCAAGAGACCATTCATTGTTCTCCAACCACAGTGGATAATCGACGCATTCAAAGCCATTATCACGGCCCCGACATTCGCAGCGAATCTACCGATCAGTATGAGACTTCAATGGGAGGACTATGAAAAATCTGGTCTTCTTAAATTGAGCTTCATCAAACAACTTTGGGCAGAGAAATTTCATGAAAACGAAGACAAACTCTACATCGCAATGGAAACTATTTGTCTTCTTGCCAAACCATTAACAGATGTCCCGAATGATGATGTTGACTACTTCATTGTACCTAGCATGCTCCAACCAGCCACTCCCGAGAAAATCATACCGGTTCTCGAAGAACCCAACACTGTCAGCACCGTCACTCTTTGTCTAAAATTTGACAATCAATTCATCCCTCCGGCAGTGTGGGATAAATTCCTTGCGGCTTGCATACACAGGTTTCAGCGACTGAATGAACCCGGTCACGCTGACTTAAACGTTTTACAGCGTGGGTTTGCCTGTTTGTCCATGAATTTCATGTGGAACATGGTCATCCACTGTCACAGAAACGCTATGAAAATCAAACTATTCAAGAGGGCTACAACTAATGTACAGCCAGCAGGAGCTGGTGTCATTATTGTAGGCATTCTAGAATATCTTCTCCAACAAGTCCTTGAATCCAGCCACCAAGATCACCTAAGATACCAATTTTACCTCCATGATAACCATCTTTTCACGCCTGATGACAAAATGGCCAGAGTAGAGGATCTTAGACTGACGACTCAGTTACCATGTTACGGTTCAAAAGGACATGGATTTATAGAAAGAGAGGATATCCTTGACTGGTTTAAACACTCAACTCTAGAGGTACGTGATTATTGTACAATTTGCAGTTCAATGTAATGACCCGTTCATTTATTACTTTTAATGTTTTACTTTAGTGTTTTGATGTATTTGACAAACCGTTCGTTCAAAACAATTACGATCAAATGACAAAAAGAAAATGCAAGAACAGTCCGGAGGGTCATTTTGTCTTCCGCAAGACAAGATGCCAAAAACACATGATCATACCTATGATATATGCCTCAATGTAAGTGCATTGCTTGCAATAACATCATACATACATCGTATTTATTTATCTTTTTTAGCCGGAAAAACAGATTCCAAGTGGCAGTTGTGGTAAGTGTATATTCTTACACATGTTGCTAAATTTTTAGCTTAAAATTAAAACTCTAATGTATTTTTCAACTCATTGTCTTAGATTTTAGCAATTTCATATTTCAAAAAGAGCAAGCAGTTTGCTTGATACAATATTTTCTGCGATGAAATGCTGTATTCCGAATGCTTTTTCCCTAATTTCCAAAGTTTACGAAAATGTTTTTTCAGTAAAGATAAATGACTTAGATGATAGGAAGCCGACCATCAAAGAAATTGGTAGAGTCTCTAAATACATTGGAAAATCCTACCAAACGTTCTTTGTCGGGCTTGGCTGTCCTATTGAGCTATTGGAGCAGGAGATGGAAGAGCATCGCCACCTCACGTTTAGATCTTGTCTGACGAAGATCTTCCTTCAGCTACGCAACATGAAGGTAGACATTAGTTTCGGAAATTTAGCCGAGGCTATGTCAGAAAATGGAATGAATCCTTCACAGCTTCAACATGTCCTTGACGATAACAGAAATAAAGAGTTTAAAGGTATCAAAGATACGTCAACTATTATGTTGGGTTATTCCCATTATCCCGGTGTCAATATTGTTTATCCTTTTCGTTTCACTCAGAATATTTTGTAATAAAATAAATAATCTTTAAGTCCTCAAACGTTGATGTAAGTACATGTAATAAATCCTCAAGTGTTTATATAATTGCATGTAATTCATCATCAATGTTTTATATAATTACATGTAATATCTGCCTAAGTGAGGTATAATTGCATATGTTATATGTTGGCTTAACCATGTTGACCTTACAGGTTTTTTCCTTCCTGTAGCATGATGAATTTGCATATAACTACCTTTGGAAGCATTTTAAAATAAAATGTAACGGGAAGAAAACAAGACCAGGTTGCCGGAAAGGCTTAGAATCTTGCTCGATCGTCTTATGTTAATTTTGAAGTAAATTTGCGTTCCCATATTAGACCCAAGCTGTTAATAACTAACCAAACTAACTACTAAAGGGCATCAAACACGCCTATCTCCATAATGCAAAAGTAGACAGATTTTTCCTCATGCGATCAGTGTGAAGACCATACAATTTTTCCTTGACGGTAATAATACACTTGAATATCTTTTATCTAATTTCATTTTATTTTCAGATGAAACTTTGTCGAGGAGCTCCCTGCAAAAATCTCTGACAGGCACTGATGTTGATCTCATTGAAAATCATTCGAATTTCAAACCGTACTTTAACTTTTTTCTTGAAATGGGATTTTCTCCGAAGTCTATCGACGAGTTCGATTACTATTACAGAAACAAGAAACATCGTGAGAAGATCAAAGCCATGCTGATGGCTTTGATCGATGAAATCCAGCCCCGCCCGAATTGGAACACACTCCTTTTGGCGATGGAAGAATGCAATATGGACACAGAATCTCTGCTCGAAGCCTTGAAGTCAAAATAGGGTTGTTTCGGCTTCTCATCGAATGACAAATGTCTTTTCAATAGACTCAAATTAGTTTCGGTTGGACGTGGATGCTATTTAGCTTGTTTATTTTTCTCTTTCGACTAACCATCTCAAGATGACACTAAATACCTAGATATTTTATGACTGTACCTAGACAACCTACATTACTCCTGGATTCCATCTCCCTTTCACGGGTTTGAAAGTCTGCCCATTTGTCATGAATCCATTAGTAGGTGTTATATTCCAGGACAGTGCTTTTGCAGATCAAATGCGTTTTCAGTCTAATAATATAAAGAGGATGTTTACTGTTTCATAACAGTCATAAGGGTATTTGACAGGGCATGACAGGGATATTTACTGCATTATTTAGTGTTATTTATGATTATCTGTAACTAGTATGTCTAAAATCTTATAATATTGATGTATATAAGGATATTCTCCTAGGATGTTTACAGTGTCAAAACACTGATATATATAAGGATATTCACCTAGGATGTTAACAGTGTTAAAACACTTCTGTATATAAGGATATTCACCTAGGATATTTACAGTGTTAAAACGTTTATGTATATATGGATATTAACCTCGGATGTTTACAGTGTTAAAACACGTATGTATATAAGGATATTAACCTAGGATGTTTACAGTGTTAATACACTAATGTATATATGGGTATTTACTAGGATGTTAATAGTGTTATAACACTGATGTATATAAGGATATCTAACTAAGATTAACACAAAACATGTTTCAATTGATCTTAATGGCGTATAGGGGTCGGCATGGATAACTGTGCCAGTCGCGAAAAATCAACGTTGACAGGATTTCGGATGTAAGATGGGATAAATAAGATATCATTCATACTGGTAACGAATGACAGTCGGGAACAATCAACATTTAAGTAATGGATTACTAATCACATTCTGATTAATCAATATTAACAGGGTAACTACCTTAACTCGATTACTGGTGACAGTCCGGCTAAAACCACCTTAACTGGATTACTGATGAAAGTCAGAATAAAACCACCTTAACTCAATTACTGATGACTGGATATAACCGCCTTAACTCGATTACTGATGACAGAAAGGATAAAACCACCTTAACTGGATTACTGATGACAGTCAGGATAAAATGACTTTAACTCGATTACTGATGACAGTCAGGCTGAAACCAACTTAACTGGATTACTGATGAAAGTCAGAATAAAACCACCTTAACTCAATTACTGATGACTGGATATAACCGCCTTAACTCGATTACTGATGACAGAAAGGATAAAACCACCTTAACTGGATTACTGATGACAGTCAGGATAAAATGACTTTAACTCGATTACTGATGACAGTCAGGCTAAAACTACGTTCTCTTGATTAACAATGACAGAGAGGCTGAAACTATCTTAACTTGATTACCGATGATAGTGAGGCTAAAACTACCTTAACTGGATTACCGATGATAGTGAGGCTAGAACATCCTGAACTGGATTACTGATGACACTCAGGCTAAAATCACCTTAACTGGATTACTGATGACAGTGAGAATAAATCAGCTTTTCTTATTGGGATTACCGAGGACATGAAGTTCAAATTAAGAAGATTTATAGAGTACAATTATGATGAATTAGTTTAAATTTAAATTAATTACTGATGACCGCCAAGATGCTTGGAATTCAGCAGAGTACTGGGGTACCACTGAATCAGTGAGTTTTAAATTGATTACTGATTAGAGTCAGGATAATTGGAATTCAACATGTAACTGTCAAAACACCGGTTCTGTTAGCTTACACTGAATTGCTGATGATAGTTAGGATACGTGAAATTCAACAGATTAGGGAGAAAACGCTGAATTCGTGAATAAAAACGAGATCTCGGACCGGGTACATGATCTTAAACCAGATTACTGACGATAATCAAAATGCATGAAATTCAAAGACTTAATATAGAAACTCTGGATCATGGAACAGTTACAAGAGTACCGGTAACAGTCCGTCGACATAAGCATTACCTGCAATAAAGATCACATTCAGGGAATCGGAGCATTAACTGATATAATGATCATATTCAAGGGGCGTGGACTGGATTACTGGTGACAGACAGGATACATTGGTGTCAAGCAGACAATTGAGGAAACAACGTATACGTAAATGACATGACATTTAAACAGCATTCAAAGGAGACTCCGAATGTTAATGACAGTCCAGAGATATGTTCTTTAACTGGAATACTGATTACGGCCCGGGGTTATAAACTTAAATTAAGAAACTGATGAACGTCCGGAGTATCGAATATTTCAATAAATAAATGATTGATGTTTGAAATGATAAACATCTAATTGAATCATTGATGACAGTCCGGATTAATGAGCATTCCAATTTAGAAATTATGACAGTCTGAATTAATGAAGGTTCCAATGGACCATTGATGACCGTTTAGATCAATGACGGATTACTGATGACAGTCCGGATAAATATCAGTTCAATTGATTACGGATGATAGTCAGGGTTAATAAACATTTCGATAGATCGCTGATGGCAGTCCGGATAAATATCAGTTCAATTGATTACTGATGACAGTCCGGATAAATATCAGTTCAATTGATTATTGATGACAGTCCGGATAAATAACAGTTCAATTGATTACGGATGACAGTCAGGGTTAATAAACATTTCGATAGATCGCTGATGGCAGTCCGGATAAACAAATACTTCAATACATTACTAATAACAGTCCGGATTTATAAACATTTTAATGAATCATTGATGGCAGTCAGAATTATTTAACATTTCACTGAATCACTGATGATCGAATTAGTTTAAATTTTAATTGATCACAGATGATATTTTGAATCAAGAAATATTTCAGTGGATTACTGAATGAAAACTTCGAATGATTACGGGTGACAGTCAGGGTTAATAACCATTTCAATAGATCACTGACGACAGTCCGGATAAACGAATACTTCAATGGATTACTGATGACGGTCCGGAGTAACAAACATTTTAATAAATCACTGATAACTGCCCGGATTAACTAACATTTCATTGAATCATTGATGACACGTCGAATTAGGGAATATTTCAATGATGGATTACTGATCACAGGCCGGTTTAATGAACATTTCAATAGATAACTGATGGCAATCCAAATAAATAAACAGTTCAATAGATCATTTACGGCAATCCGGATGAAGAAATATTTCAATGGGTTACTGATGCCAGTTCGGATTTATAAACACTTTGATGGATCACTGATGACTATCGGCATTAATGAACATTTCACTGGAATAATGATGTTAGTCCAAATCAATGATATAAACTGTATCATTGATAATAGTGTGGATGCTTGATATGTAACTTGGTTTACCAATGAGGGTCTCGATAAATGAAAATAATAATAATTACTGATGATTGTCAGGGTACATGACCTTGAAACACATAAGTAAGCGGAGATCGACGCAGTCCGGATAAATGAAGTTGATCAAAGTCAGAATACAACTGATTAAAATCCGATTCAATGAATATTAAACATATCACTAAAATAGATGACTGGAAATATAAAATTCAACTGTACTACTGATTACAGCACATTTAAATGAATTCTACTTGGAATACTGAAGACAGTCTGGAGATTTAACTATATCACTGATGATAGATTGAATATATGAACTTATTAAATCTAAATAGATCACTGAATACAATCTATATAAATAGACTCCAACCAAATTACGGATGACTGTCAAGATAAGTCCATTTGTAGTTATGGCAATCTGGGTCTATTGAGAAAAGTTCAGATACATAGATTTTTACTGGATTTGTGCGGGAATTCCGGATAGATGAACTGTTAATTGATGTCAATCTGGTTTGATAGAAGAGATTACAGTATTTATTGATGCGTTCTATTGGGTCAGTGTTATTGAGTTAATGTCAGTTCGTGCAAATGGATATGTAGATTAGTTGCTAATCAAAATCCGGACCAATGAACTTGTACCGTGTTACCGATGACCGTCTGTGTTAAAGAGTTTATATTGATAAGAGATGACAATCCGGACACATGAGCTTGTATTTGTTTACCGATGATATTCTGTATATGCTTTATATTTACTGATGATAGTTTACATTTAATTTCTGATGACGTAGAAGATATGGAGATTGTACTTACAGTCCCAATAAATGAGTTGGCGAATGGTCACTGATGACATTAAATTTTAATAATTTTAACATGGTTACTACTGAAAAATCCGGATTAATGAATTTGTGTTGAATGATTATTGATAGTCTGGGTTATTGAATTTGTTTGGTTGCAGGTGGCAGTCTATGTCCGTTCGTTGTAACTGTAATATTTATGGGAGCACGTATGCGTGAGTCGGTTGTGTTCTTGATGACAGGTAAATGAATCAATATTCAAACATTAGCAAAAAGGATCAATGAGTCACTGATGACAATCTGAATGTATATCGTTTTACTGTGTAGCAAAATACATTCTAATTATGCAATGCTTACCTTTGTTCGGATTACTGAGTTTGCACTTGGTCACCGCTGACATTCCGGACACATTGATTTATTCAATGTTAATGATGACAGTTCATTGTTTTGCAAGTGAATTTAGGATAATTGAGTTTGGTTTAGGTTAATGACTGCAGTACGGTTTAATTGTTTTGTAAGATGATAATGATGAAAGTCCAGATAGCGAGTTCTGTTTGATTACTTACCGTCCAAATAAAGTTGCCTTCTGATGGTATTCAGATTACAGTAGTGTTTTTGTACTGGGTTACTGGTCATGTTGCTCGATTAGTCGGTTTGAATTTGGCTACTGATGACAGTCCGGATAAACGAGCACGTTCTAGGATAACGATGACAGATTTAGTAGCCTGTACTAGATGGTAGGTTATTGAGGATTTTCCTGATAACAATTTGATCTCTGATGATTCACTAATCAAAGACAGAATAAATTAATGTCCGCTCCAGTTTGACCAGGTTAATGTTGACTTCTGGATTA